TTTAGCACTAAGCTAAGTGTGGGACACTGTAAGATGCTGCAAGTGTACGGTGCATTAAAGTTGAAATTTCTTTAAAACCCTACACCTTATTGTCCTCAAGCTTCGTGATACACATCCTTTAGATGAGTAGTGTAGAACACAAGTGAAAAGAAAGTAGTGGTAATGTTTTTTTTATTTTTTATTTCTCTATAAAAACAAATAGTGCCGACCTGAAGCTGTGTGTTAAAGTGCATTAAAGTTGAAATGTCAAAACCCCACAGCTGAATTTCCTCAAACTTGATGAGAAACATACTTGAAATGTGTGGAATTAAAGTAAGGAAATCTAGGTGAAATGTTGCTTTTTTGTACACTAGTGTACATTACACTTTTGCACAATGGTGGTGTGTGCGTGTGCGTGCATGCGTGCGCACACACACACACACCATCAGTGTTTCCCCCCACACTAAAGATACTTCTTACCATAGAAGTAAGGGGTGGCTGTGGCTGAGAGGTTAGAGCAGTCGGCCGCCAATGCAAGAGTTGGGGGTTTGAATCCACCAGTAGTCACATGCCGAAGTTTCCCTGGGCAAGACACTGAACCCCTCATCGCCTCTGATATGTGTCCCATCGGTGTATGAATGTGATAAAGCTCTGATTAGTCTCTTTAGAATGATTTGTTCAATTATCTTTGTAGAGATCTAGCAGAGCTGTATGAATGGGTACATGAGGCACAGATTGTTGTAAAGTGCTTTGAGTATCTCGATAAGATAGAAAGGCTCTGTATAAGTACAGTCCATTTACCATTTACCATAGACATATATACATAGATGCCTCATTGAGCGCTGAATCGTATGTCGACATCATTTTGAATGTGGCAGACATGCCGGTCAACTTATGCCCCTTTTCCATTATTACCTTTAGTACTGGTACAGCATGGTTCGACTCGGCTCGGCACAGTATGGGTTGTGTTTCTATTATGCTTTCAGTAATGGTTCTAGTGGGCGGGGTTCAGAGTTCAAAAATTGACATCACGCGCCTTACCAGCTAGTGGCGGTAATGCTTGTGGTAAGACCCTGAAACAGGTTTCAGTACAGGGTGAGAATTTATTTTGAAATTTCTGGTAAATTATAAAGAATACAGATTATTAAAATGATCAAATTAAACAATATAAATTCTGCTAATGAACTTTTGTTCACCATTAAATCTCTGATTAACCAGATTCAACAAAAACATCTATATTTAAAATTAAAATCTTTGATACAACTGGGGGTGCTTGGCATCGCGCCCCTATCGCGCGGCCCCCTGGTGGGGTGTGCCCTTGCCTGCCGGCGCGCTTGGGGCCCTTGGTATCGGGGGCTGGGCGCTTGGGCGTGTGTCGGCTCGGCCTGGTGTCTGCCTGGTGGGGCTCGGGTCCTCTGGCCCTGTCAGGCCTTGGCCTGGGTGGTGCGAGTCCTCGGTGCCCGGGCCTCGGTGCCTGGACCTGGACCTACATCGGTGCGGCGGGTGCCGACGGGGGCCTATGAGTTTGTCGCTGTTGGCCCCGGGGGGTCACTGTATGTGGTTGCTGGTAGGGATCTTCCGGTTCTCCCCTGTGGTCCGTTCTGGGGGGTGGGTGAGTGGTTCGTCCTGTGTGGGTGGCTCTGGGGGCTCCGCGGTCGGGGTCCCTCCTGGGGTCTTGGACTCTGGTCCCCCCTTTTTCATCTGCCTCTGGTCTTGGGGGTCGGGTCTCTGCTGCTTCACAGTTACTAATAAATGTTCTATTAGAGAAGCCTTATACACTTATGCATGCTCACAACCACACACAAATAGAAGCAGGGATGCTTATTTAGGCTTTATATGTAGATATATAGATATGTATGTGAGTGTATATTCATGTGTATGTATGCATGTATGTATATAGGCGTAGGTATGGGTATATATATTTATGGAAACTTACTGCAAAGAACATGACAAAACA